CAAACAAATATACATATATACGCAACGTGTTTGTTAAGTTTAGGTGTATAATTGATTATTCAAATAAAAATATGTTGCTACCTCAAGCAGTAATATAAAAATCTCGATTAAAAATGCCTTTTGTGGTGTAAGGAACCTCTACACTATGGAAGTTCATCTCTGTGGCTGTTAAACATATCCTATTTATTAATTTAACATTTATAAGTTAGAGTTTTTGATAGAGCAAATATAAAGCAAATATTAGACGCATCGGCTGCATTTTAACAAAAGTAACATATAAAGATTTTTGTGTTTCCAAAAATGCTAAAAGGTTTTTGGCAAGACCTGAACCCAGCCATAATGTACTGACTAGATATATCTATAGCTAGTTTACAATACACTTTCGTGATTTTGTGGCGTTGAACTCTGGTTAACTCCACTGCTTTTTTTCTAGCCAGACTATAAAGCAATGTGTACTTAGGAATATCTGCATCGTATTATCTCCGACTGCCTTTAGCACAAAATAAATTGTTTATGACAGGCTGAATTAAATAATGATAACTGACAGATACGCCGACAGCTGTCAGATCAGTACCTGCTTTTCTGATGTCAGTGAACGATCGTGTGTACTAATTACTCTTTGAACAAAGATATGATGTCTTATTCCTAAAATATCAAGGCTTAAGTCCAGAAACCCTGCTGATGTAGTCAACTTATATCTCTTACGATGAAACCAAATATTCTTTATTCACTGAATATATAACCAAGGTCTTCTAGACTAAAGTTTATATTACTACTCAAATTTTTCCAGCTTCTGAAGTAAAAGAACCTCAAATTACTGGTAAGAGTCATATTAGAGCACAACACAGGTGAACGCCAAATGGTCACGGTAAGTATCATGTCAGATTCGACTTGTCAATCTGGTCTCAAATATGTGGTTAACACAGATGAATGTCTACCTAATGTCTTTAAATTAATTAAGGAACCAAATTCTTCTCTTATTTCAAATCATAATGGATTGGGGTCCATTATTCTGATTGCATTTAATTGTTAAGCATTAAAAATTATTAAAAAAAGAATTCATTAACCTAGTTTATGCACCATAGAAATTTAGTTATACTTCCACAAGTTTTTACTTTCATACTTTTTGATAATATTTTCTTTCGTCAATGTCATCCATCATTAAAATGGACTGATTGTACAGTGGATTAGATAAGCATTTTCGAAAGCACACGAGTTTGCTAATTTTGTTTATATTTCGCTCAAGCATCTGGTGACTAATTTTTGGTAAATAAATTTGGCTATAATAAATTGTTTCGATAATGTGTGATTCCAATATAATATGTTGTGTGGGCAATTAATGATTAAGTCAAGTCATTTGTACCGATAGATAAAAAATGAAAAAAAAATGTAATGAATCACAAAAGATCCTTTGATTAAGACTACAATATGACTAATCACGGCATTATAAATATTGCTATATAAATATCGCTATATTCACTTCAATCCCTTTAAATCAAATCTTTTTCTTTTAAAAACCAATGATTTGTTGAAAGATAACATACATGGTATTTAGATCATACAGATTCGTAGTATGCTTGCTATGAGTTAAATACTATTATAAAACGTATCGGTTATTTTTTATGAAACTGAGAGTATTTGAAAGAAGAGATTAGTTGAAGTGTGCTGGATAGATATAGATATAAAAAGGATATTTTATGGTATCGTTATTTAGGAAAAAAGGGAACAAGAGAAAAAAAAGGGAACAAGAATATTTATAAACTTATCCCTGATTTTTATAAAGAACAGTTTAAATTGACAGTAGTCTTTGTGAATCTAAAAATCTAATCTAATCTAAAAATAAACTGTTAATTCAAAGAAAACATGTGTAGTAATACATACCCACCATATAAAATGAAAGGAACATTTATAGACTTCTCCCTGATTTCTATTAAGAACAGCCCGAAACGTTTTTTATCTCTTCGAATTTATTAATCTATGGTTGTGTTTAATCTAACTTTTATTATTATTATGTTGAGGCTAGTTGATTCAGTGCACTTGAGCAGTTTTACTCTCTATTAACTGCGAGGTTTTTTCATAACCCCTCTCTACGCCTTGACAGGATTATTGTTTATCACTTTATCAGACTATGCAGTAATTGACCTCAGATCTGCATACCTCCCTGAAGAGCCTGTAATCATTCTGAGACTCATTCTGATAACGCGATGTTAGTAACCCTGTCAGTTTTCGTAAATAATTTCAGGACTGTATCTTTTATGTACTTTTTGATCGGATCAATCTTGAGGTCCCTGGGGATGTCATTTGTCCTAATGTACCATAGCACCTTGAAAAGTCTTCTCAGAGACAGTTTAAACTGACTGTAGTCTTTGTGAATCTAAAAATCTATGGTTGTGTAGGATTGAGTTCCTACCATATATCATTTCGGTTCATATTTAAATGCTACTTACATTTTTAGGCTGTAACGAAAACAATTCTAAAATGTTAGAAAACTTAAATTTATTAATTAAACTCAACACATATTTTAATTTCTTCAGATGGTATAGATAAATTAAAAATCATTAAAACCGTTCAAAGTTGTTTAGTTTTTTGAGAGTTCAAGATTTCAAATTACAAGCAAATGTTTGGAAAAGTAGACTCAAGTTGATAAATCCTATCTAAACTAATATTGATTGTTCAACTCAGTAACATATTTTTAATATAAAAAAAATATTTTTTTAAAGTTTAGAATATTCACTTAGAAATCTTTAATCTTAAAGCCTAAAAATGATAGAAAATATTTGGTTGATATTTAAGTTTTGCGAGTTTATTGCGAGTATGTGCGGAGCCTACTTTCACATTGTTGGTTCTTTAAACCAAATGGAACCACTGCCGCATAACTCGCTATACTGTATCACCTACATAGGATTTTCGATTTATAGTTTATATGCAATCGTTAGTACATATTTTGGAGAGACGATTAGTGCATTAGGAGAGGGCATAATTGCATCGATTGGAGTTGTACTATTTTTCATAACAGCAATATGCTCATTATCGCATATGGAATCAGATCTTCATTTATTACATCTGACACAACTCGAAGAGGTCAAGCATCCATACTTTCAAACTACTCTCAGTCAAAGCTATTGCTCGCTCGTAGCTGGTGCAATTTTTCTGCTTCACGCCCAGCTAGCATTCGACTATATGGTTACAAGAAAGAGTGGTTATATCGAAACTGAGGAGGCAACATGGGAACCTCCTTTGGAAATCGTTTTTTTCAATGAAAATTTTCAAGAAAAACTTATGAATACGGCTGTGTACCGCAAGTTCATCACAATATTAAATGCACATCAAACACCAAGTGCAGTTTAACGGATATTCAGTGAAGTTAAATGAATTGTAATAATTAATTTAATAATGGAATAATGTATATTCCATATGTGAAAGACAGTGATAACAAATTTGGATATGTTTAAAATAATTTTTTTTGTAAATATAAAGAAATTAATTGGATTGACACCACAATCAGCCACTGCAGTACATACACGTAAAAGTTTATTTGAGTTGTAAATTATAGTTTAGCTAAAAATTAATAGCATACTTTTAGCCTGTTTCGCGTAAATAACATGCAAGCATTTTCGCATGAGTTAATACCCAGTAGGAAATTTATAAATTATTAAAAATGTAAATTATAATACATTTACACAAGTCTTAGACTTGTACATTACTATGAGATTTATTTTGCACTGCGAGGTAATATCTATAAATAAAAGGGATTCTTAGTTGGATGTCAAGAACGATGTCGTTTTTGGTGCACATGCTTGTTCATAGATAAGAAAAATCATTAACTTTGCTTGTTGATCTATGGTTAATTCAAATTTAATAATAAATACATAAGGGAATATTCAATCAGTGTCTGAAACAGACATAAGTGCTTAAATAGATTTGTAAAAGGCTATAACTTATTCACACAACTAAAGTTAATAAAAAAATCGAAATCGCAATTAATTCGGCATTCACACGACATTTTTATTTATTACACATATCAGGAATCTTCTTTTTCTGAGAAAAATTTGAATGAGGAAATGCAGCAAAAACTGACGTGCAACAAAATGCTGAATTTGACGAATGTGACGCGTCTTATGACGTAAAGAAACTGGAAGGGTTCGAATAGTAATAAAAAAGCAACAATAAATAATTCAATAAATGAATCAAATTTTTTTTGTTGCTTCTACATTACAGTTTGAACCCTTATAGAATTTTTTTATTGTTACGAATAATTATAAGATTTAAAATCTTCACCGACTTTCTCTCGGTACCGACTTGACAGAGCTATCATCCAGCAAAATTAGTGATTTGCCCATGTTTATAAACTTATCAGGTTGGTTTACTTTTGCTTGAATGGGGAACCTTTCAGTGCTGTTTGGGATCCTTCTGCTCTGCGTATGATATCATTTGATATTAATAGACGGTTCTGGTATAATAACAGTCTATTATTTGAGTTCAAATAGGTTTTGATGCACAAGGCCGCCATTCCAACCTAACCTAACATGCGAATAATTTAATTATTCTTTAAAAATTAATGAGGTATGTTGGTCATTTTAGAGTGCATTTTGTTTTTTTATATTTAATGTGATCAGTTATAATTATTTATAGTGGGGTATTGCAATATAATAGGCTTCAAACTCTATAATCAACATATTGAAACTAATAGACTCTACTAATGATGTTTATCATATCAGTTATGAAAATTTGATTGAGATGCACTGTACAAGAATAGAAACTTATTAACAGATGATAGTTCCATGTGCAATCCGGTATACGTACTGTAGTCATTTATCCACACTGACGATTAAACGCCCAACAAAGCTACAACAAAAATATTTACGAATAATCGTCTTACGAAAACTGCTATTAAATTATATGATTTGCACTCCATTTACTTAGCTAGCACTCAAATGTATTAGTTTTATCAAGGTTTTAATATATTTTCTTATATTTAAGAGAACTGGTACTTTGAAATACAAGTATACATTTATTTTTGTTAAATGGTTAGTTTCTTACACAAAACTTTTTTTAAAAAATTTGACTTTTAACAATACTTAAGACTAATTTGTATGACACTAATATTCCAATTCTTTATTTTGTAGATACCAACTACAAAATGTAGTAAATACTATCAATAAACCTAAGTACTTGTCATGTGTGTTTCATCTAATCATACTGATATTTTATACGTTAAAGAACATAATGTATGATATCTTAAAAGAATTCATTTAGTTAAATTAATGATAATGAATATAGTTTAAATTAGATCATTAGCGATCGGTGGCACAATCATTGCCATTCACATGTTCCTTAACATGACCATTGGTATGACCGTTAGTATAACCATTATCCTGTGATTCCAAAGCACAATTTTTGCCGAATGTTTTCATCTTCTTTATTGCAGGTTCATGAGCAATACCAGAGAAGTCGAACTGTGAAAGAAGTAACAACATATTACTAGAAAAAGTAATTAAAAACAGTAATTAAAAAACTATCAATCATACTCTTTGTTCCAAAGTCATGTGGGAGAGGGGTGCAAGACCAATGCATCCACGTAAAATATTTTCAATAGCCGCACGTTGACGGAACAACGAATTGACAACTTGAGAGCCACGAGGAACTAAAGGTGCCTTGCATAAGTAACTCAACAGTGATAGTACAGGCTTGAATGGCACCCATTCAGCATTGGCACAATTAGCGTTTTTAATGTGTATGCGAGAGCAAAGTTCGCCCAAAATAACCAGATCCAAAATCAATGGTGTAGCTAAAAGTGAGTCTTCACAAGTGTTATGTATCACAAGTGTATTGTGACCACCCATCATGATTTCAGAAGTGTATTCATCCATAGCACGTTTGCTGTCACCCACATAGGGCACATACTTTATAACTACAATATGATCAGGATGTTCATTTGGCTTGTATAGAATGTTATTTGAAGCAACCATGTCATCCACAACATTACTTTTTGAAATCTAAATACAGAAGGTATTTTGTTTGAACAAATGTTTAATATGTTTAATAAAATAAAGCTTATACTGAAATAATTAACGTAGTAGTAGTATTAGTAGTTTGGTATGCATTCAACTAACCTCCTTAGAGCGAAATTGCTTCGGTGCTGATAAATTTTTGCCATCGTTATTACCTAAATGATTATAACTGGCAATAGATACTGGCTTTATGCCTGCTCCAACCAAAAAATCAACGAGCACTGACTTAATTTTGGTTTGGCCCGATTTGAAATCATCGCCAGCAATGAAAACTCCCTTATGTTCAGCCAATTCAATCAATCCAGGCACAAAAGTATTTTGTGGTGAGCCATTAATGTATGTACACTAAAAAACAACGGTATTTAGCAAACTTTAAATAACAACAAATTATGCAACTTACTCCTTCGGCTATGCTTGCCATAGCAAAAATAGTAGACGGCGATATTTCTGATTTATTAGCCTTTAAGGATGTCTCCAAATCTTTCATAGTTGTATTTAGTCCCTCGATTACACTACAAAAGCGCTCTGTATTAGCTGTCCACAAAACAATGACTGTTTCAACACCTGATTTTTTCTTGAAGTCTTGTATATCGCGACGTATCTGTTCGTATTGTTCAAATTTCGTGCCTTCAATAACATTATCAGCACGTTCCGATTGATTTGCTGCTATAAAATCGGAATCGTAAATCGATGGGCGTGGTTTTAAAGCTGATAAATCTTTATAAATTTGATCTTGTACACCTATATCGAGCACTTGAGCACGACGCATAGCTTCACCAATGTTTAATCCACTTATATCCCAACCATCAACTAATATATCATTTGGATTAACCATCGGCACTAAATCCTTCATTGGTACATACACATCTTGTTCTTTTTCGTCGGAACCAATCAATACAGTAGACGATTGAGTAATTGAACCAAACCAATTTGCTGTATTTAAACCAGTACGTGTACGCCACTGCAATTGACGACGGTTAGCTTCTAAAGCAGCAGTAAGTGTAGAACCATTATTGCCACCCCAGCCAACGAGCATAACACCAACTTTGGGCACATGTTTCTCGGTGCGAATTTTCAAAGCGGTTGTTATGGGATGAACCTAAAATATTAATACAATTATAATTAATATTCTATATATATAATTAATATTCTATATATTGAATAAGAGTTCAGAAAATTGGTAAACAGTAGAACAGTAGAAATATGCAATTAACAATTAATATATGAAAATATGTGTTAAATTCGTCGAGTTAGCACAATCGATAAAAGTATAGGATTAATATTCATTAATATATGTGTATATTTACTTAGAGAAAAAATTTCAGTGCATTAATTTTTAATTTTTATCAATTATAAACAATTTGTTTAAAAAATATTGTGGCATTTTATTATCTTGCAATTTTTTAATATTTTTAATTAATAATGTTAGTATGTGCCTAATGTATCATTATCAAAATCGTGACTTCCTTTGTAAAATGATAGATACATACTAGTCCTAAAAATAGCTTTAGGCAAAAGTCGATAAGTAGAAAATATCAGACGATTCACATTTTTATACATTTCACTTAGATTGTCACGTAATGATAATAATTAGTTAATTATAACTTTAAAATGTATGGAAGTCATCTGAATAATCTTTTTAACCCCTTCAGCACTACGTCACTAAGAAGTTTTAAATAATGCTCTTGTATATAATTACTATATTAAATTATATATGTATATTGTTATTATAATGAGCAAATCGTGTGTAAAATACAATAATGTATGAACTAGTCAATGGTCAATGGTATTGTGTTAGGGTAAGGCCCCTATGCACTGCGGCCAGCTTGATTATTGTGTACCCCTTTGTATTTAGACAATCAGTATTTCGACAAATCGAACCAGCTCCTTCGGAGGGAGTTTTCGAAGGTCTTCACCCTCTACTTGGTATGTACCTAAAATTTTGTTTCTTCTGTGGCCTAGTGCATCACAGTTGGTGATCAGATGTTCCATAGACTCTTTCACATCACAACAGAATCTGAACTAACTAACTAGTAACTAATTAGTAACTAATGATATGAAACTTATGATATAAGCATATGATAATTTATATGATATCGTAGTTAATAGATATGATTCTATTAAAAGTACTTTTCAATAGAAAGCGAGCATCTTGTCTATTGAATCACTACACATTTGTACTAGTACGAGTATGGTCAATGACGGTTACATTCGTCTGACGAAAAATTAATATATTTCCATTTATATTTAGTCTTTGTGATATTTAGTTCTCTTAGAAAACTATCACCCTTTATATTTGATTCATATCATATGATTCATGTCTCTAACAGTTTCAATAATTTTTTAAAAAAATCTCTGCATCATTAAAACTGATTTTATCTGAAATCATAGTTTAATAACCCTCTCGAAGTGGAATACAGCAAAACAGATTCAAACACGTTTCTTGAAATTTATTATGCCTTATCAAATGGTTCGACATTTGCCGCCTTAAACTAATTAGTATTTAATCTGTTCAAATAAAAAATTGATTAACTTATCTCTAAACTGTTGACTATCGATAAATGCGACAAAAACTTTAAACACAAAGAAATTAATTGATAATATATGTAAATGTGTGTATTTTGGAATCGTGACACACAATATCCATGAACAAGTACATAGATACAAGTATACAGAACATATAGAAAATTATATATTCCAGATATGGGTTAGGAGTTGAGAGTACCGACGATACTATACCGGCCGGCTTTAAAAAAGCGGCACAACATGAACCGGCAGTTGCTTAAATATGGTGACTTGCAGATAAATATTCTTATTTTATTGGCTTTAGGTACATTAATAGGAGTATATTGGTGTGCAAAAATGTGTGTTAATTTTGGTAATTAACATGTCTCAAACTAATATATTTAAAAAAAAAAGTATTTGGAGTGTTTATCGCAAAAAGCGTTAAAATTTTTAAGCATTACGTGTACTTGACAATATATAAAATGTGATTTTAAATACACACAGAGAATTCGGAGCGTTTAATATGCAATACATTTCCTTATCAATAAATCAACATAGAATCCATTTATATTCCCGTGGTGTCTGAAAATTCAGCAGCAGAAGCGCATGCAAATTGCTTTCGAATTATTTTTATTATTCAAATTTTGACTATATCATGCTTATATAATATTAAATAAATATTTGTGTTTAAAGTGCAAAGGTGTGATCAGTAAATTTACATTGAATAACACTTCACCAATATAATAAGATGCATAATATGTATTTAGGTTTAGTGTTTGATTATTTCTCCAAATATAAACCTGAAAGTTATTAGTATTAGTCTCTACTCGATCAATAAAAGTATCTTTTTCATTCTTCTATAACCTATCACCTTTTAAAAATGACATTAAAGCATGCAGATTCTGTGGAATACAAAGTAAAATATCGTCCCTTTTCATCAAGTTTTAAATGCATTGGTTAAGCATGCACTCTTGAACTACAGATGGCTCTCCGAAGGCTCTTCAAAGTGCCATGGTACATCCGCACGAATGACATACTAAGAGACCTTAGAATAGATCCGGTCAAAAAATACATAAGGGACAGAGCACTGAAGCTATATTCGAAAATCGCCAGGCTGCCCTACTTAGTATTATCTAATCTCAAAGTAATCACTAACCGCACGGAGCGGTACGCAGATCTTAGATCAATCATTGTATAATCACGAAGATTATGAGGAATACTCAAATTAGTCAGTCAGATGGGTGAACCCCCCAGCCATCATAGAGTAAAAGTGTGCAAATGCAGTAACTCGGAAAAGGCTCAACATAAGATGAATATGTTAAGTTTACCAATAGTTTTAAGTTCTCCTGTTTAATTAAGGACATTTTTTCGAGAATCTTAAATGTCTATGACCTAAAATCCATTATATCATTTAGGAAAGTAGTTAATCAACAACATATTAAAATCCTTCTTAATATACAAAGAGAAGAAAATATACCAGCAATGCCGTTCACAAAACACTATAATTGTTAAATATAGATTACATAACGTGCTCATAAAATTTAATATAATATACATAATTCAGACTAATATTAAAAGTTCTACATTTCCAGTACTTATCCTCAACCATTTTGTGAGATAGACCAACAACAGCACCGCACAAATAAATTATTATGTTAGAAACGTGATATAAATTTCTTTAATATGTAACATTGGACCATTAATGTGTAAATCAAGCCTAACACAATTTTGAAGTATCGTTCAGGATTATAATACTTAATATCATAAGTGGCTTTTCCAATTGTCACCAATCCGCTAAGAATTCTCAGTTCATATATAGTTTTGGCAAACATTAAAAATTTTTATAACAGGGCTGTCCAAACCAGAACCCACGGGCCACATGCGACCCGCGACATGTTTCTAATCTACCACAAATACGCAAATTTTCCTTTGATATATTTTTTGGTGAAATTACATTACTTTATTTTTAGTTTCCCAAAAAAATAGATTCAAATGTATAATTAATAAAGCTAAAATTGACATTAAATCGTATTTTTATTTTTCAACAAAAAACCATGGACGTATGTATTTGTTTCTGCAGCCCTGTGAGTAGTATTGACCCGCGATCGTATCTGCTCTGGACAGCCCTGATTTATAACAACATAATCTAAAAGGATTTATTGTTTTAACTGGAAGTATAATCAGATAATTCAGTTTCTACTCTGTACTCAGTAAAATAAAGAAAGTATGCAGCTTTAAAGTTTATAAACCAGTAGCTCTGTATTTTAATGAAGAAGAAGGAAGGATTTTCAATGATTTTCGTTTACAAATAATAATAACAATCTGACGATTCGGTACTATCTGACTGCAATGCCTGGAACAACTAATTTCTAAGGAAATCTCAGTCGGTAGAGCTTCAAAAATATATATGTAGTGGAAAAAATGTATCAAGCGAAGAAGCAGTCCCCAAACTCATAAATATTTCAAATAAGAGATGAAAGAAGAAGCAACATGTGCATCCTCTGATCCATCTCATTCATGTTCTCTTAATTTCATCACATATTTTAATTAATTAATCTTATTCTTGTATGGAAAAAATAATATGTAATTTTTTTATTTATTTATTAGAATATGTTTTTTTAATTCATTTATTTCCTTGCTAGATGCATTATTTTGGTAAAAAAATGAGCTCTGAAATGTAGAAGAAAGAAAACAAAGAACATAAACAATCACACTTAATTATGTATGTATGCAAGCGTACACATCGTACTATTTACGACCTTGAACTTGTCACGCCATTACAACATAGAAGATGTCAAGTGCAAGTCCATTGCCTTAACAGCCATGCAATGCAAACGAAAACGGATTTAAAACAAAAGCGAAAAGAAAAAACATCATCGTAGCATAAATAGTGCACAGTGCGCAAGTTTGCCGCCAATGTAATAGCAGAAAATAATAGAGAGAAAATCTAATGTGAAAATAAATACATATTTCAATAGCTTTTGAAGTGGAAAATTTTTAATTTTTTTACAATTAATATTTTTTTCTTTTTGAGATTGTAAACATTATATTTCTTCAGTTCTTTTTATTGGTACATAATTAGAAATCTGTATTAAATGTTTTTGTATTTTTCTACAGAATTTTATTTAATTGTTTATAAAACATGTTAAATGTTTATAGTTTATTCGCCGAAAGTGAATACATTAACACTTCTTATTGTACAATTATTAGCGCATGCGCTAAACAAAAAAAAATGCGGCATATCCTCGCTGACTTCGCTGACTACTTACTGTCAGCTGAGAAGCCGCAAGAATTGATGGAAAATTTTGAAATTTTTTATGCACAGATAAATGTTACACATATATATTTGTATGCAAATTATTGCACATATAAACTTCGAACAACATATGTATGTATTTATTTTCACCATTTTTGGTCAACTACGTTCTGCGGTTTTACATGATATCGTTTGTGCATTCAAATGTACATATGAAAATCAATTGTTTCTAGAACTTACTTGGATTTTCCCATCGGCATTACGCTTCACTTTTGTAGTTTGATATTCATAATCTGTTTCAATAAATTTTTCACTATTTTGTACTTTTGGTGAAATTATTTCCATTTTAACTATGACTTTTTTCCTCTTAAAAACTGTAACAACTTTTATAGAAACAAAGCAAATAATTTTCTAACAAATACGCAGTCTTATTTTCAGTGGGTGTAGAATGTATTGATTTTCAAGAAAATATTTATCAACTTTATTGAAATATTTATAAAATCAATTTAGAATTTTTCAGTATTTATTTAATATTCAATTACAATTTATTAAAATCTTATTTTTATATCACTTCAACTTTGAATAAACTATAACTTTCGGCAAACAATACTTATACCTCCACTGCTTTACGTGAAATGTAAGTTTCTCTTCATTTCACGCTTCTATTTATGCATCAATTTTTCTTGATCTCGCGTAAAGCAAGCAATCGTTCTGCTTCGGATATAACAACAACAACAACCACAACAACACAATCGTTTAGCCAAGTGTGCTGCGGGTGGGATTGGCGTTATCACATATTCTCTGACATGCGGTTGCCGGTAAATAATAACAATTGAAATAACAATTAACTTGATACATAAAAAACAGCTAACGTACCTTTAGTATACCAAAAACATTGGCGGACTTAAAAAACTTATATTTATTGTTATTGTAATGTAATTTTTTTTAATATAGTCAGAGAATTATATAAACTACATTTAAATTTCTTATTTTAAATATATGTATGTATGAATGTATGTATGATTTATTTATTCACAATAAACATATGAAATGTACATTTAAAAACTAAAACATATTAAATGTACTATAGGTACTAAAACATATTTTATTATTATTATGTTACATAATTATGAATCAGAAAATTATTTTTTGCACATATTTTTAATGTAATTGAATATAGAAATACTTTTATTTTCAAACAGGTGTTCTTGTCAACGACTATTTATATCCGTACTATACATAGTGTAAACAATAAAAAAAATGTATGGTTTGTGTTAAAAAACTTTATAGAAATGATTAAAAACATTTGTTATTTAATTTTTTGTTTGATTTAATATGAGTAAATATATATGAATTATAATAAAGTTAACAAATATATTTTTGCTTGCGAAACACGGAGAGTAATATAATATTTTAAAAAACCATATGTGAATTTTCAGTTACCCTTAAAATAGTAAATTGGTTATATCGCTAACTAAGTCATGTCAATAAAATTAATACATATATAATGTAATATATATAAATAAAACTAATGTATGTATATACAAAAATATATCAAACTCTGAGAATAAAATTGATACTGTCATATACTACGATTTTTGCATACCATAATATTAACATGCAAATTGTTTAATTCCTACTTGTTGCAATCTCAGTAACCTGAGAGCAAATAGTAGCTTTCAATGATTGTTACAAAACACATTTTATATATTGTACATATGTTATTAACTATTAATATATAAGTTTTCAAATGAGTACATAACAAAAATATCGATATTAGATGAAAAGCAGAAAATAAATGCTCTATTTTCAAAATTAAGTTTTTTGTTTTAAGCGGTATACCCATAAAAATAAATATGATTGTAATTAAAGTGTTCAAAAGGTCTGCTAAAACTTTTGGTCAAATTAACGCCAGCTAAAATTGTTTGATGCTGCGGATGCTCACATTAATTTAGAGCTGCACGCCAAGAAGATGTGCAGGGCTTTCAAAATATACTTCAATAAAATCACCTGAATACCTCATTATCATATTTCAATGAAACATTAGTTACAATGGATCACCTTGGTGATCACATGTTCTATACAGGAAAAGTGCATTAGGCAATAACCAGAGTAGTCCCTAATGTAATGCCTCCAAACAAAGGAGGAAGGAACAGGAATTTAATATTTGTTACCTTTTATTTTATTATAGTAAATTAAAATATAATAGTTTTTTACTTAAAAAGGAATATGTATATTGTCATGCAATTGAGCATGTTTTTTTTTTGTCTGGGTATTAAAATGCTTTTCCGTGGCGAGTGATCATCATATTCGTTGTTTAAATTGACGATCATTTGATATCCTGTGTAACATAGGACATAGTTAATGGATGTGAGCTATTAATTACTGCGACAACAGGGTCGTCATTACATTTAATTTTTGGCAATTTCTATGTTTTATTTTTATAATACGAAAAATATATAAGTAAGAAATTTTTAAATATTTAAATTTTGTAACAAATAAAAAATTAAGTAGCAGTCCATTTAGCAGTCCAATGAGCCAACAATGAGCTAACAACTTGCTAATTGAAACATGTAAGAAAAATCTTCTGAATGCATCCAATGATTTTCTCCACCCATTTGTCGGTTCTTTTCAACATGTGAAAAATAACTGTAGTCCACATTTCAAAACAACGTTTATTTGGTATAATTTCTAATGATTAGAAATGAAATATGACAGCTTCTATTATAGAAAGCATTTAATCGATTTTACGCCCTTATCATTATCACACTATTTTTTTATTAGATAATTTTTTTTGTGATTTAATTACTTTTACGTTTGATTTTTGACATTTATTTTATGTAAATGAGTAGATAAAATCATAAAAATAAGTAGTTGCTATCCAGTAATATTTATATATTATATCAGTTATATATCAGTTTTAACTTATAAAAAGCTTAAAATTTCATTACAATTTTTCTACATAGAGTATTTGGCTTTTAAGTTAAACATCAGAAAATAAACCTATTTAGTCTGAGAAAGAAAAAAAAATTGTATGGGTGGGGTACATTTTCAATATATATTTAGATATGGGTTGTTTTAACACAAAAAAACCGAATAGCTTTAATTCATAAATCATTGTTAAATTTCGTGCTTGCATTTCCAATTGGTTTTAAATTTTAGTGAGACTAGTTTTTAGGATGTCTTTTAGACTGTCTTAATTTTTTAAAACCTGGACATACAGAAAATATCTATGCTTATTTTTTCTCTGCAGCTTTTAAAATTCTGGTTAAAGGGAATGACGGTATTGGTGTGTGCTGACAGGTCATTGTCTATGATCTGTCAGCACCGTTATGAATTTTAATACCGAGGACCCTCAATGTCCTCTAATTTGTGTCTATGGTAAAATAAAGTTTTATAAAATGTAAGTGCAAGTGAATAGTTCAAAAAGAGGCGGATCTTCTTTTGATGGCATATTTCTTTTTGTTAAGACGACATAATAATTATCAGTGAATAATTGTATATAAAATGAATAGTATATATAAATTAATTACAATCTTTTCAATTTTTATCAAAATAAGTATGATTTTTATAAAGGAAGTAAAATATATAATTTATCAAGTTTACTTTCACATTTTCTAACACGTGTTTGTTGTAGAATCTAATTTTTCTGGATAGTCTATGCAATTTAAATGTCATTTCCTTTTATTTTATCATCATGTTTTAATATCAACATTAAAAAAAAATTCTTAAGGGCCGCACTGATTATTCCAAAGAAATAAAAAAGAATCATTATGAAAAACTTAATTATGATAAAAATATATAATACACAAGCATATTGTAAGATAATGCTATAAATTTTAAATATATGTATATTTTTTAATTTTCTTTAAAAATTTATAAATGTTTAATAAACTCGTTTACTTTTCATTTTTCGAGCCAATTTTGCTTTCTCTGGCCTATGCTGGCTATATGGCCAGAAACAGAATATGTTGAAAAATACTATATATAATAATAGGACAACTTTTTAGTATTAAATATTTCCTTGCAATCTACAACGTTTGTTGGCTATATATTGTTATCATTTATTTATATAAATGTGAAGAAATTACACAGTTACACAATTTAAGTTTAATAAAAATGTTTGAAACCTAAAAAAAGTTTCCGGATTTCCGACGCACTCCCACTTAACAACGGATTTTAGTAGACAGCTATTTTAAACAACTTTTTCTTCTATACTATATATCAATATAGTTCAGTTTTGGAGATATCGGCCTTTAAAGTTGAAAACCGTACATGAAAACTGTCAACAACACGTAGACGTATCAGATGATTGTTACTGGAAATTATATTCGTAATTTGTATAAACAATGTACATATATTATAGCAAACATTAGTTAGTGATAGATGACGTGTGTAGTCTTGTTTTGTGTTCTCAGTGTGAAAAGTCTACAACTTAAAAATTCGATTTCCTGAGAAGTATATCTATTCTGTTAATATATTCTAAATCAAAGAACGACATACTATAGACTACGATTGCACATTACCATAAAGCATTAAAAATATTGTAATATTTTTTATTGATGATATGACGCTATGGTGTTACTCATTCTAGGCCAGGCTTAAGCTTTATTGACCTTTTTAAATCAGTTTCTACTAAAAAAACTGCTAGACACATATAAAAATAAAATAGTCTTGGAGTACTTGGTCGGTTTTGTCTAATTATAAAAAAGTTATTCTCTAATTTTTTTCACATATGCCAAAGATCAACATGTAGCTTTTCGATTGTTTCTTCCTGCTGAGGATATGCTTGGCTTATGTATCCGCCTATATATCGTGAATAACATCTAGTTAGGTGAAACTCTCCGCTTGATGATCCTTATTCGATCATCATTTTTTCCCTATAAAATCGTTATAGTCTTTCACACAACATCTTACAAAAATATATATTGGGGTTTTACAAACATAATCAAATATAAATAAATAAACTACAAACGTTCTTAACATTGATGATTTCATTCTAAACATCATAATAGACAAGTAATTCTCAATGCATTTCCTAAAATATATAAATCTCAACAGTAGTAATTTTAAGAAACCAATGATTCATATAAATTCAAATCTGTTACGATTTAGAGATTTAGCAAAATTGAAGAATGTTCAATTGCTTCACGACTCCGTAGCCAATATTCGATGTTTGTTATTACTACACTACCGTAACTCCCTCGGGGGTGTCTAACATCTCTAGAGGGCGCGTCCGCAGGTGGATATGGGTGGTAGAAGGGAAATCAAATACCTCCCGCGGACCAAATAGGCCGGAGAAGCAAACTCTGTCATCAAACATGGACAGCATAGAATCTCAAGGCGGCGGACGAATCAACAGTATGGTCAACGGCGCAAGTTTCAAATGGTGTTTCTATTTCAGCGTCTGTTCATCATGTAAGGTGCGGCTGAAAGCGGTCGTCGGACTTGTAGCAATCGGATCGCTATATAAACGTGTACCACGCCGGAATCTCGCTGGGTCATCATCCACCGCATATGTGAATCGTCAAATCGTCAAATCAAATCAACGAAACATCTACAGCTTGGATTCAAACGAAAACGGAACAACTTCTCCAAGAGGTAATCGACATTCGAGTAATCCCCCTGCACACGCTGCAGCAGGCACACCGGATTTGGAGGTGCCAAACCCATGCTTTAATAACATCGATAGTTTCGAGATGAATGAAACCAAGAGGTCCTATGCTCCACTGGGAGTTAACGGAATAAAGAAGAAGAAGACACTACCATAACTGACAGTTAAGGTACCTTCCCTTACAAGCTTATTAAAGCATAGATTAAGAATACATATTTTCAGAAACTGCCAATTCTAATTCTATATCCAAGAACGACTTGTATCGACAACTAAACGGTTGAAAAAAACGAAAAAATGGATGGCGGAACTTGCCCCTGGAATGAGGAAACTGCTTCAACAAGAAATGAAAATGCAAATTACAATTACAATTAAATTGAATATGCAAAAAGCTTTAATAAACTCTTAAATTTAAATTTAAAATGCAAAATGAGTAAAATTACCAATAAAGTATTCTTACCGGCATATAAAATATAATTATCATGATTAATTTAATAAATACTAATATTATTATATACAAAACAGGATCAAAAAAATTTTGCTTAAAAAATAACAATTTTTTGAAAAAACAAAAATAAAATCACATTGAGTGTTCACAACATTAAAGTTTCACTGAATACAATTAAGACTTTGGAACTGGAATAGTTTAATATCATATGTTATATGTTAAGTTTAATTTAGAAATAAAGAATGTTTTGAATATACTTATTGGTTTAATTATCTAAGAATTCCCAATCACTTGATGTGTTTGATTCCGCAGAAGGTGGTGGTGTGTTTTTCTGCAAAGGATCTCGTGCTCGACTAAAATCTAAGAGGAAACTGTCAATTTCGGTATTTACTGGTGGCATGTGTACAAATTGTTTTTCAACACTGTTAGATGCTTGCCGTGACGATATACCTCCAACTGCTCCCAATAGTTCTTCCTCTAATGTTGGAGCACATACTTCATCGTTACTGGTAGTATTGGTATTAGGGAAATCTTCTGCTAAATTTGTTTCACGTAAAGTCTGAATGATATCATCCACCGGTTGTCCTGTACTAAAGTCAGGCACGTAGTAGAACTTTTTATTTGGACTTGTTTGTACGCCAGCGTCTTCAACTTTCGACTGTCTAGGATATGCGTGTTTTAATTCTTTAATTGACGAGCTTAATACTTGTGAGATGTTCATGTTTTCGTTGATATATAAGTTATCTGACAACTTTAATTCTTCTGAAAAGGTTTTTAGTTCATCACTCCTTTCAATTCCAGCTGGTGAACCTAGACCAAACGTTTGAGTTTCTTGGTCGCTTTTTAAACTAAAAATTGAAGGAATTTAATTCTTTATTTTTTGAAAATATCAATCAAAAAAGACATTTAAAGCAATTTAAAAATATATAAGAAACAATAAGAAGCCGCGCTATTGAATTAAAGTATAATATTACCTTTCTGGTAAGCAATAGCTAACGTCCATTAAAGTTGGCTTTGCCGTAAATTCCGATGCGTTTGATTTATCCATTTTTGCAGCAAAACTTTTCCGGTTTGTTTCCTCATTTTTGTCGGAATCTCTGTTTTGTACGTGCTCATCATCGGCTTTTTCATTTTGCGCTAATTTTACGTCTGCTACTTGTCCAATTTCAACAATTCCTTCTGCTTTTGAAGGTACAGAATTATCGCGACTTTTACGCTTTTTTCGACCATTTACAAATACGCCACTATGATGAAGTATTGATTGATCAAAATCCATTTGTGATATTTGATTAAATATTTCGAGTCGACGGTTCTGTTCGGCACGTGGCGACTCTACCGCTAACTCAATAGGTATATATTTATTAGGTTCAATTGGTGATAATTCAAAACATTCCTCAGCTTTAATAATAGACTGTTCGTCTGGTTCATATTCAACAGGAGACTCAAATGTACCACATATAGCAGAACCCAATACAGGAACAGGCGGTGGCATAAGTGGATTAAATATAATTTTGGCTTAAAATAAATATTGATGTGAAAATAAAAACTATTACTTATGATGTTCAAGTTTTTTAATTACCAGTTTTGTTGGGCTTCTCCGGCATTGGCGCTAGTCGCAAAACTGAACGTTCACCTTCTAAGACGAAAATTTCATTATCACACACACAAAAATCCAAAATTTTACGAAAACCCTTGGCAACTGCCTCTACACACAAGCGATCCAAATTCAATATATACAAATTGATTTCGTCGTGTGTCACAATCAATGTATCTGTTCCAATATAAGGATACATGACACCAAAGTTTCTTACCGAATCAGATACATTGCTTTCGTGCTGTGTCGAGCGATATATATCCTGTTTTGGGTTTAATATAGGTATCACCCATGTTGGATTACAATGAATGGCTTCTTTAAACAAATAAGTTTTTTCAACGTTGCCATCAGTATCAGCTAACCAAAACCGTAATCCAGGTCGGCCGCAAATCAAACTTAATGATTTACCACCTGTTTTTAAAAACACCCCGCCACAGTCTACTAGTTGCTTACGATCCTTTTTACCAACTTGAGTTATTTGCCATTGCCCACTAGATGTGCAACGTTGACATATTATTGAACGGTATAATGTGGATACTAAGAGATAACTTTGATACACATTCATTTGTACTATTTCATAAGCTTCACTTAGTATTTCCACAGACTTACTTATATGCTAAAAGAAACGAGAATCATATTTTCGTTTATGCATGCTTCTATTTATACATATATTTAACACAAACCGCTTGATAGTCGAATTCAGTCAGCACAACTACCCCAAGTCTGTCACCAGAATATAGCTTCATCCCATTTTTGGACCATTCATTGCAACTTACAGCACTCCGATGTAGATCACGTATGGTATAACGTTCAATTGGCTTTGGGCGCGCACACGGTCCAACCAAGTTGAGGTCAGGTGGTAATTCTTTTTGTATTTGAAACACACTTACTTGTCCAGTTGAATTGCCCGCTGCCACCATAAATTCAACAGAATTAACAATTTTAACACAAGTTATGCGCGTTGCAACCTAAAATTAAGGAGTGTATATTTGTTATCATCACCAAACACGCAATTTAAAATATGAGTCATCAAATAGTATTTAAAATGATATTGCTATGTATACCTACTTCAGCTTTTAGTTTTTGAACGTTTCCAGTAAAGCGATTATACCAGAAAACTATTCCTACATCACTGCCTAAGGCTATGAATTCGTTTACAGCATCAATGCATGTTATATTTACATCGACAGAAAGAAATCCTCTCTGTGTGCGGCTTGGAATGCGTTCGATCAGATCCGTCAAGGGCGCCCATTCTCTGATAGCATAAAGCTCTTTGGAGCACATCACTCCGTTTAATTGAATCAAATAAAACTATGATATAAAATATATGTTCTCTTTTCAACTACTTTCTCGACTTCCAAACTGTTAAATGAAGAAGAAAGTTAGATGTCAACAAAGAATGAATAAAACAGAAAACAAAGAAACAATAGAAAAATGTAAAGTGATGCCAGACTATAGCAATTTGTTTTACACCGGCTTAATAACTATTCTTCAGTTCGCATATTGTATTATTGAGAAAAATAGTATATACATCTAAGGACGTGTGCGAGTTAGGCTAAGTTGTGTTCTAAATGAGGAAAATTCTAAGTTGTGGAGATAATGTAGTGATGTGTCGATACGTGTTGATAAATGGCTATATGTGTGCAGTGCAAAAAATCCCAAAAAATCTCCTATTTGGTTTAGCATCAACTTAGCCTAACTCGCACTCGTCCTAAACTTCAGAATTAATGAAAACATTAGGAAATGTTTATGAAAACTGTAGTATATTCGATAATGGCAACACTGCATAAAGAAATAGAGAAAGAAGTAAAAAAGACAAAATGCGTAGTTGTTGTCGGAATCGTGCAAAGCAGAGTAAACGTGCTGTGGTGTAATCATAATATTTATTAAGATTAAATTGTAAATTATTATAATACTTTAAGTAATAAGTATATGTTGTTATATATAAGAACATAACAAAGTTGGCGACGAGGATAAAAATTAAAGGATGGCGAGGAGTTTTGGGGTACTGGATCAATTTGACGTTGCGTCGGGGAAGTGGAAGACTTACAGGGAGCAAATGGAGTTTTTTTTTATGGCAAATGAAATCACAGACGATAAAAAGAAAAAAGCAATCTTTTTAGCGTCATGTGGGCCGGAAACCTACACAATATTAAAATCGGTTGCCACACCGATTAATATTGTAGAGGAAACATTCACATTTGAGGCGGCAACTAAGTTATTGACCAACTATTTTTGTCCGGCAGCGAATGCAATAATTGAAAGGTTTAAATTTTATCGGAGAAACCAAGTAGAGGACGAATCAATTATTGAATATTTGGCAGCGCTAAGGAAATTGAGCCAAGACTGCAATTTCAAGGATTTGGAAGAAATGTTACGAGACAGACTAGTCTGTGGCATGCGCGATGAAAATTTACAAAAGCGGCTCCTGGCGAATGACCAGTTAACACTAAAAATAGCGCAGGAGGAAGCTATAGCATCAGAAACAGCACAAAAGAATGCGACGGAACTTAAAACGTCAGCCAGCCTACCAGGGTTGAATAAAATTTCAAGCAACAAGGTAAAACCAAATCGTGCTCCAGTGGACCATATTCAGAATTGTTATCGTTGTCGAGGAAATCATCATTCAGATCAGTGCAAATTTAAAGACGCGGAATGTTATTATTGCAAAAAGCGTGGACATATTGAGAGAGCTTGTATAAAAAAAGCAAAAACCAAAAAGCCAGCAACAAATAATGGAAGAAGACCAAACAGAGTAAATCTTTTAGATACAAACCAGGAAACTCAAAAGACAGAGTATTTATGGTCAATGTTCGTTAAAGGTAGTCCATCGGTCAAGAGAGTGATTACGATAAGTAAGTCACCGGTACAAATGGAAATAGATTCGGGGGCAAGTTACTCAATAATAAGTGAAAAGTTATTTAGAGAAAAAATGCCGTATATTCCGCTAAAACCAAGTCAAATACAATTAAGAACTTGGGGAACAGAGAAAAATCTTAAACTGAGTGGAGAAGCAGAAGTACCAGTCTCGGTTGGGAACGTCACAAAGAAACTAAAGTTGTTAGTAGCAGCGGGTGAAGGTCCGGCTCTAATCGGTCGAAATTGGTTTAACGATTTGGGAATTACTATAACCAGCAATTTATGCAATATAGAATCAGCTATTCCAGTAGAAGTGATGAACTTCAGTTCAGTTTTTGATGGAAATCTTGGAGATTACAAGGGAAATCCTGTGAAGTTACAAATGTCAGTTTCAAGTAAACCGAAATTTCTTTGATATCGACAAGTGCCGTTTGCACTAAAACTCAAGGTGGAAGCAGCATTAAAGAAGTTGGAAGATGAAGGCGCACTACGTTCAATATCCTTTAGTGAGTGGGCAACACCGGTTGTACCTATAATTAAACCAGATGGTAGCATACGCATTTGTGGAGATTATAAGTGCACAGTGAATCAAATGCTTTGCAAGGAAACGTATCCATTACCTACTAATACAGAAGTGCTGGCAACATTAGCAAATTGTAAGTGGTTTACAAAGCTGGATTTAGATCGAGCGTATACACAGGTGAAGGTGGACCAAGAATCAGCAAGGATACTTACATTAAACACACATCGCGGACTTTTTGAAGTTACAAGATTACCGTTTGGAATTTCAACGGCACCAGGTATATTTCAACGGGTGATGGAAGGAGTTCTTAAGAACATAGATGGTGTGATTATTTATTTAGATGACATTCTAATTGGCGGAACAACTTTGGAAGAGTTGTGGGATAGAACACGAACTGCTCTGAAACGTGTACAGGATGCAGGATTGAAGCTTAAAAAATCAAAATGTGTTTTCGCAGTACAAGAGATAACATTTTTGGGGTTTAAGATAAGCCGAGAAGGAGTGCGTCCAACTGACGAAAAGGTGAAGGCAATAGCTCAAGCACCAGAACCAATAAATAAACAGCAGCTACAAGCTTTTCTTGGGTTAATTACATTTTATGATAGATTTTTACAAAATAAGGGCGATCTATTGGAACCGCTGTATCGACTATTAAGAAAAGAGATACCTTTTAAATGGGGTAAAGAACAGAAATTAAGTTTTGAACGAGCAAAGAAACTATTACAATCAAAAAATCTTTTGGTGCATTATTCGGCTGACTTACCACTGATATTATGCGGAGACGCATCACCGTATGGAGTTGGAGTTGTTTTGGCACACAAGATGCCGGATGATAGAGAAGCACCGATTGCTTTTGGCTCCAGAACATTACAGGGCGCGGAACGAAATTATTCACAGTTGGATAAAGAAGCGCTAGCGATTATGTTTGGTGTGCAAAAGTTTCATCAATTTTTAAGTGGTAGACAATTTACAATAATGACTGATCATAAACCACTAGTGGGATTATTTAATCCAGAAAAACCAATATCACAGCATATATCACCCAGAATGTTAAGGTGGTCGTTAAAGTTAGGCGCTTACCAGTACGAGATTAAATTCCGAGAAGGGAAACATCACCAGAATGCAGATGCATTGAGCCGGTTACCTTTAAATGATGTAAAGCTACAAATACCGGAAATACCTGAAATATTATACTGCAATGAGGCTGAGGAACAGTTTTTAATCACTGCGAAAGAAATTGCACAAGCAACCAGAAGAGATCCAATACTATCAAAAGTAATGTGGCATATCCAAAGGAAAGATACAGTTTTGCCATATAAATCAATCCAGTTTAAACCGTTTGTGAATAAAATCCAGGAACTATCAGTGAATGCACAATGTTTGTTATGGGGAGCCAGGGTAATAATACCAGCAACACTACGTCCCAGAATACTTGAGATGTTGCACGAAGTTCATCAAGGCATGTCGGCAATGAAAGCAGTTGCGCGAAGCTATTTTTGGTGGCCTGGTTTAGATGAAGATATAGAAATGTTAGCCAGACGTTGTGAAAAGTGTGCATGTAACAAAAAGAATCCTCCAGTAGCAGCAGGTAAACCATGGCCAGCAACGCTAAGGCCATGGTCACGGTTACATATTGATTATGCGGGACCCTTTATGGGTACAAATTTTTTTATCGTCGTAGATGCTCATAGCAAGTGGGTAGAGGTAAAAATAACCAGTAAAATAAATGCGATTAGAACAATCGAGTTAATGAGAGAAATATTTGCAACACATGGTATACCAGATACCATTGTGTCCGATAATGGGCGAACGTTTGTGTCAGAAGAATTTGAGAAATATTTAAAACTTAGCGGTATAAAGCACATACGTACGGCACCGTATCATCCATCGTCAAACGGGCAAGCAGAAAGGTTTGTACAAACCATTAAGAATCACCTTAAGAAAATGCAGTCTTCAGACATCAGTAAGAATTTGGCAAATATACTTTTGCATCTGCGTACAACTCCTAATGCAAATTCAAATTTGAGTCCAGCAGAAATCTTGATGGGAAGGAAGTTGAAAACATTGTTAGATCATTTGCACCCCAGTGATCACAACACTCAGAAGCAGCTAAATTCTGATGAGTATTCCAAACAAATAAAACCAGTTCGCAGTTTCCAGTGTGGTGAAAGTGTTTGGTATCGAAATTTTGGAAGAGGTGAAAAGTGGATGCCAGGGATTATACAATCAACAGGAGATCGCAACTACAAAATTCAATCAAATAGTGACATATTGTCGAGACATATTGACCAGTTGCATAAGCGAGTTTCGGAGACACCGACAAGGTTAGAATCCAATATAACTCCAGTAGCAGTAACTTCAGTGGCACAACCGGAAGAGCAAGACGACCAAGTAAGTGCAGGTCAGTCATCAAATGAATATATCCTACCAGATAGTCAAGTAGAGGGGTCATTAGAAGAAAAAGATAAAAGAGATGAAACATTGAAATCGCGACCGTACCGGCAGAGGCAACCGCCAAAAAGGTTACGGGACTATTTGATGGGGGAGGAACTGTAGTATATTCGATAATGGCAACACTGCATAAAGAAATAGAGAAAGAAGTAAAAAAGACAAAATGCGTAGTTGTTGTCGGAATCGTGCAAAGCAGAGTAAACGTGCTGTGGTGTAATCATAATATTTATTAAGATTAAATTGTAAATTATTATAATACTTTAAGTAATAAAGTATATGTTGTTATATATAAGAACATAACAAAAACAATTATAGAAATTTTGTTTTTTAAGGGCTAATTGATCAATAGTTAAATAAAAAACTTTTTTAAAAATTTTTATTTGTTTTTGAAAGATTCTTTTTTAAAATAATAATAAATTTATTAAAACTATTCCGATTTAGTTTTGTATGATTAATTTTAATTAATTTTAGATTATTATACGGATATTTGATTTATAATTAATATCAATTAACAATATATGTACATACTTATTAGTGAATGACAAAGGTTTTATTTTAATTATATTTTAAAAGCATACGTAGAGTTATATGTAGAGTTCTGCATCTGCATCTGTTCGCAACTATTAAATCAAGCGGCAAACTGTCTATAAGTTTCAAATGTCAAAATGTTTATAAGATTCTAGATGCTAAATTAAATGAGTTGCATCTATACAACTTATCGCATAACTTTCTAAGAGGTGGCAACTCTACAAAAAGCTTAATGTTGGCAATAATAATTCATATCAGCTGTTAATGCATAAGTGGTAGTGTGGTAGGTTGCTGTTAGTGGGTGATTATAGTGTATTAACAACATATTAAGGAGTTTCAAAATTCTATAATTAAATTTTTAACAAAGGTAAATAAAATATAATTTTGTGAATTTAGAGAAAATGAAAAAAAATTCTTCAACAGTTGGTTGTTAATAAAAGGATTCCTTTGAAGAAAGTTGATTGATTTTTGCACACCCCGTGCTCTCATGCGCAGATAAAATAAAGTTGTTAGCCGAGCAAAGTTCAATCGATTAAAGTTTTAATACGAAAATTATAAGACATACAAAATGGATATGGGTCCAGCAAGTAATTATCGTAACGCTATTGTAAATGAACCACTTATTATGCCGCAACCTGTAGCTTCGCTAGCTGGAAATAATCCAACAATGATGTTGCCTACTCAATTTGGTGGAAATGTACGGGCACTACCTTGCCCACCTGTTCCACCAACGCCATATGGCAATAACTACAATAGCTACAATAGTAACAATTTATATGGTGGATTTGGCGGATTTGGTTCAGGATTTGGAAACTCATATAGTTATGGTGGCTATGGCGGAGGGTTATTTGGTGGAGGTTATAACAATTTTGGTTCAAATCTAAATCCGTATGATCCTGAAGCACGATTCATACAATTAGCAGAAGCAAGCACTCGGCCTGCTTTTGATAGTATACAATCATTAGTTAGTGCAATTGGTAACATCGCATCTATGTTAGATTCAACATTCTTTGCACTAACAAGTTCATTTCGTGCCATATTGGGTGTGGCAGCGAATTTTGGACGCTTACGAGGAGTATTTGCACAATTCTGGCAAACATTTGCCGTTATTCGTGCCATACGATTTTTATACCGAAAGTAAGTAATACAAATTTTTCATTAATTATTCGATATTAAAATTTTTTTTAAAAACAAATGTTCTTTAGAATGCTATACTGGCTTCGAATATCAAATATGGATCCATCATCAGAAGCTTTCAAAGACGCTTTTGCAGAAGCCATTAATAATACAACCGGTGAGACAGGTGCACCGAAAGTACCACGCAAGGGTCAGTCACCCTGGCCAATAATTGCGTTTCTAAGTTTTATATTTACAGTGCCCTACCTCATTATGAAAATGCTAGGTACTGTCACAAACACAGCACAGGCCGAAGGTATGTTACAGTATTTTTTCCACATAAGTACCATAATAATTAATGGACTTATCACACTAAATATAAATACAAATCTCAAAAGCTTTATAATTGATAAGATAATATAATCTTGTATTTATATGTAATTGATTTAAAAAAGTTGTATTACCAGTGCATTAAACGCAATGAATTTAATTATTATTTTTATATACTAATATAGCACGAGTACCTTCCAAATGGATTAAACCTATACAGTCCTACGCAGAATATGATTTTGTTCCAAGAGACCAGTCGGAACTAGCTCTTCAAGTCGGTCAAAAATTAATTATTGCGCCCAAAGAAATACAAAACACACTGGGTTTATTAAATTCAGGTTGGGCTATTGCTTCAACTGATGGTCAAAATTCTGGACTGATTCCTATTAATTATGTTAAAAGTATACAACGTCTACAACAACAACCAATATTATCCCATCCGCAGTCTATGGAGAAAGAAATTCGCTCTACTGATTTATCAGAGCAACAACAAACAAATAAATCTAAAAATTTTCATGTAAATGATGAAATACAAAATTTTACGCCTGAAATCGAAAATCTATCAACTAAAGCATTTTCAAGACCACCCGTTCAACATAATATTAACGCTTCTATACCGGAATTCGATATTGCTCCACAACCAATTGCACCTCCAACGAATTTAGATGTTATAAGTAGTTTGGGTAGTGTTTAAGAAATACTTAAAAAAATGTTAAAAGTTTCATTAAAGAACAAAGAAGTCTTTAGGTAAACTAGTGGGTTTTTTATGGCTTTAAGTATTTTTAGTTTTAAATCGACTTTTTTATTCCAAGTTTAGTATAATATGAATGCAATAAAAAATCTAAGAAACAGTATAACATTTATATTTTATAAATAACTGATATCTCATGTAAGTTTTTAATTTAAAATATCGGTTATCTGTCTGAATAATAATATATTAAAAAAAATTCAAAAAGATGTTTAAATTTTGGAACTTTTAAATTAGAATAACAATTTTAGCAGTTGTTATAAAACAGCAACATATGCCGAAATTAATTGATGCGTCGTAATCATATATGGGCAGGGACCTGCCATACAGTTCTGCATGACATATAGGGAAACATTGCTTAGATAGTTATACTCATTATGCTCTTTTATAAGAAGTATGTCTAATTCAGCATATAGGTAGTGGAGTTGCGATATACGATAGCAACCTGATAATGTGAAATTCGAAGAATTGAATATTGAAGATTAAGACTAAAACAGCAATAGATCGTATTATAGATCTGTATGTATTAGAAAATGTTTCTTTAACATTTGTTAGAAAACCAGTCGCAAGCGCTTTCACCTCGTTGTTACCACGTTTCAATCGGTCATATAACAATACACCATTTGCTTATAATACCAGCATTCGAAAGTATTGAACATCAAATAAAATCGTTCTTCAATATGATTAAGTAATTTAAAAAAGTTTTTTTTTATTTTTGAACTGTGTTTATAATATAAATAATCATAATAAAAATAATCAGCGCATCTTTTAGGAATAAAGTATCCAAGACTATAATCACAACAAAATTCTGGTTGATACTTTATTTTGCTTATATTATATTATATGTACATATATTAGATTGAAAAGTTAATTGAGGCACAGTAATGACTCATACACTATTTAATACTCACAGGTTGTATTTGAGAATATTCAATAACAGT